GTGTGTATATATATATATATATATATATATATATAGATATAGTCAGGGAACACTGACTTAAATGCCGCCATAGAATGCCTATACCACGAGGGGTCACTTTTGCTCTGCATATGCAATAAATATATAATCCAAAGTTTGGTATTGTTCCAATATCTGCTTTCGCTTTTCCGTCTCACCCTCGAGCCTCTCTCTTCCACCATGATGCCGTGATCTTTGGCGATCGAATCGGCCGCCGCCACCGCCAACTTCGATGGCTTCCCTTGATTCTTGTTGGAAGGTAATCAAATCGTCTCTCCGTTTACAAGAACCTAATTAAAGCTGGTCAAATTCTTGGTTCTTTTGTTTTAGTTGATATCTGAAAATCTTTGTGATGAAAGGTTTTCTTGGATCCTGCTGGGATGCTGAAGCTGCTGTGTTGGCTGCAATTGGTTGAGGCGGTTGAGTGAGATGTGAGAAACTATAGCTATGGATGGGTGGTTGCTGATCTGGACAAGTTTGCAGTCTTGTGAGGGTTTTGTATTTCATAATTAATCAATCGAAAAAAAGTTGACCGACAGTGTGCTTTGTGTGAAATGAGGGAACAAGTGATAACTTTTGTGACTATTCATTGAAAGCATGTTTGATTTGGAAGTTGCATCATCTTCTAATGATTTCTATTTATTGGCTTAAGGGAGTCATAGTTTGATATATATTTTTTTCAAACATTATAACTCACCTTACGAGTTCAGAGGCAATATCATGTAACCAAGTGGTTGGTGCTTAATTTTTTCTCTAAGAATTGTTTCATCCTGTGTTTTATGTTTAAGTATTAATTATATAGGCTGCTAACTTAGCGATCAAAAAATTTGAAGCATAAAGCATCAATGCTTCTGCATGTCACATTATTATTTAACCTATATTAATAAATGTGGATATGTTGGTTGATTTCATAACTTATATATTTAGTAAGTTTCAATATTCATCATCAAACAGAGATAAATGTTTCATAGAGGAGAATGCATGGTATGAAATAATGAAATAACTTGTATATGAATGCTTGTTTGTGCGTGTTCAGAGGAAGATTTCATTTTCATATGGTACAGGCAGGGAATGACATTGTACGCACACTCATTGAGTTTTCCTACTACCCAGACCATTTCAGAGAGTGTTCCAAGATGTTCCAAGATTCTACCCTGAAGATTCTACCCTGGGTGAGCTTTCTACTGCAACCCTACCATCTGATCAAATCAAACATGTTTTTAATGTCAATCAGGCACAAGGGGATCCCGTTGTACATCAACCTACACCTGCCCGACAATTTTTGGACCAATGCACTGATCGGTTTAGCCAGTCTTCAGATGAGGATTGACAGGTATACACATCTAGGAAGAAGAAGAAGAATAAAGGCCTACTAGAGCTCAGAAACTTAATGGATGATACCATTGTTGCTTCTGGTAATGACAGAAAACTTAACCATTAGTTAGTAAGCTCCCTACCTAGAACTAGAGGTAATAGGTAAGGGTACTTTGGGTCGTACTCATGCTCCCATTATCTGTTTGGATCTGCAAATTTTACAGGTGTTTTCATGTATCCTTCTTGGTAGATCAATTACCTCAGCTTTTTGTTCTCTCTTTCTTCCAGTTTTCTTGGTGCAACAAGAATAGCTTCCTTCTGTTTGATTCTGTGCCATCGTGCCTACCCACACATCTGGGGGATGACCCAACTGAAATAGCTAGTGAATTTTGCGTAGGAAGAAGGCTCCCTATCTCAAAAAGTATTTTTTCCATTTGTTTGACATTTATAGCTCTTACCGATCCAACTACTACTTCCAAATGGCTTGTGAATTTTGCTCTGTTTGGGGACTTCGCGGTAGAGATTATATTATTACGGTTTTGGGTATACATTGACTTTTTTTTGGAGATTTTGGTGCATGTTGTATACCGGGTGTTTTGGGTTCTTAATCGGCCCTCTCATCCAACCTCTTTTGTACCACTCCTTTCTAATATATTAGCTCTTGGGTCTTTTTTTTTAGATATGTATGCATGTGTGCGCGCGCGCGTGTGCGTTCGCTTTTTTGGAGATATTGGTGCGTGTTGTATACCGGGTGTTTTGGGTTCTTAATCGGCCCTCTCATCCAACCTATTTTGTACCATGTGTATGTGTGTGTGCGCGCTCGTTTTTTTTGAGATTTTTGTGCGTGTTGTATACCGAGTGTTTTGGGCTCTTAATCGACCCTCTCATCCAACCTATTTTGTACCATGTGTGTGTGTGTGTGTGTGTGTGTGTCTGTCTGTCTGTCTGTTTGGTACGATGATAAGTGAAAATTTCAAGCTTGTCAGTAATTAAAGAAATTGGGTGTGTGTGTGTGTGTGTGTGTGTCTGTCTGTCTGTTTGGTACGATGATAAATGAAAATTTCAAGCTTGTCAGTAATTAAAGAAATTGGTGAAATTTTGAAGGGTGGTAGGTGACCATTAATGAAGGAAGGTGTTGGTAGGCAAGAAGAGATTATCAGAACAAATTGGGCGTGCTCATTTCATTCATTGATACGATGCTACTCTCCAAAGGAGAGAAATCTAGTGAATATAAGAGACCCATTGATTCACCCAACCTATCAAGCACTCAAGACTACACAAGGACTATTAAGATATCTTGTCTCTATTTTTTTCAGCCTTTATCTCCGAAAGGGGGCTTCAATCTCTTCCACCTTTTGAGATTGCTAAAAGTAATAGTGGAGGACTTTGACACTGCTCTTGGAGATGGATGAAGTTGTCGTATGGTCTTTGGTGGTGGTGGCATCAAGTGGTCTTGGCCAAACTCTCGTTGCACAAAAGCAATTTTGGTGTGGAAAGGTGAACCATTTTTATGGTTTATTTAAGAAACCATACTGGTGATGCCAATCATTGTGGCTGTTAAAAAGTAAGTACTGTTAAAAGGTAAGTTTTGGTGCAATGATTCTGTGCATAACTTCTTCTGTTGCACTGTATGGCAAAAAGAAGCGCAATGCTTTGATTGCAGGCTCATTTTTGACCACCTCTTTGGATGATGATGATAGCTAGAAATTATTTAGGGGTGCATTTCCTACGGATTTTTCTTACATAGGTTGCCATCTATAAATGATTAACTTGAAAACAAAATCATGACAATGCAGATGAAACAGACTCGAGAAAGATTCTATTTGATGGCATTCAATGTGTCGGGTGAAATTGTTTAAATAGCAACTACTACTAGTCTTATTCTTGATTTTAGCTATTTATAAGTAGACTTATTATTCCCACCTGAATATTATTCAATTGGGTAATTTATTGTTATTCTTTCCATTTGCAGTTTCTAATCACTCATTTCAGTGACTTTCAACTTGCTACATTTGGTTCCTTCATCATTCATGAAAGTGTGTTCTTCCTTTCTGGACTTCCATCTATATGTTTTGAGAGGACAGGACTTTTCAGCAAATACAAAATTCAGGTTGCTTGCAACTCCTAACTTTGTTATTTGAGCTTTCAGAAGAATAATTTTAGATTTTTTTCTTGTATATCTGTTTGGTAATTGTTTGTCCATTTTCATGTTTTATGTGACGAGCAACTCTATTCATCCCTTTTGCTGGCAGTGGTTTTGGTTTTTTGTAATTTTCAGCCACGTTATATAGCTTATTGGCATAAGTCTCATCATAATCCACTGTAATTATTTTTTTTATAGCGTCATACTTATTTCTGAACCTGTTCCCATGTAGGGATTTGGTATGGACCATTAGCAAGGATGATTTTGAACGTGCATGACAAGATATTTTGGTATAAGTTATTCTTGGATTCAGTTACATTTCTCATTTTAGTTATGGGTCTCATGATATCCTGGCGGCTTTGTGGTCTGTTGCAACTCAGTAGTTGATTTTTGGTTTCCTTTGGCACACGCTAGCAAAATATACAAAAAATGTTTTATATTGATGGAGTTTTTAATATGGTTTTTTGGCGTGTGGGGCATTTCAAGGAATCAAATCGGCTGTGCTGTGAGTTAAGATTACTATGAGTTGTCTGAGCTTACATTAATCTTTCTAATTTCAAATCTACATTCCTATTGAATCTTTGACAAGATTCAATGAGAGATTGGCTGTGACTTGTTGTTTAGTTTTTTATTTTTTATTTTTATTTTTTGATTTCACGTTCTTTTCATCAAGAAAATTTTATAAGATTTTTATTGTGTGATAGAAAAGTACCGCCTAGACTGAAAGGAAAATTTTATAAGATGGTGGTGAGACTTGCAATGCTTTATGGCGCAAAATGTTGACCTTTAAAAGAGAAACATAAAATAAAGTTAAGTGTTGCTGAGATGAGAATGCTTAGGTGGATGAGTGACTTGACACTTAGAGACAAAATGTGAATTGAATATATCCGTGATAGGGTTGGTGTAGCCTAATGACGGACAAGATTAGATAGAATCGTCTTAGATGGTTTGGTCACATGTGGACCATTTGGCGATCCTGTTAGGAGAGTAGATGTTTTAGATTTGATTTATGTTAAGAAAGGCAGAGGTAGACCTAAAAAAAACTTGGGCTTATTGTATAAAAAATGATCTCAATCGATTAGAATTAAATGAAAATATCACACTCAATAGGATGCAATGGAGAAAAAATGATTCATTTAGCCGAACACATTTAGTGGGATAAAGGCTTTTTGTTGTTGTTGTTGTTCTTTTCGTCAAGACCATTTTGTTTATGGTCTTATGTGCATATTGTTACGTTAAATGTCCTTTTTTTAAGCTTGAGAGTTTCTGGCTTATTTAATCAGTTGTCTTGGAGGCTCTTCTTCCACATGGATCTGCTACCATATTAATTTTCCTGGATTAAACCTCTTAGTTTGTGGTATGTATTTGAATCTTAGTATTTGAGTTTTCTTTTAATTTATTTCCGTGACGACCTTGTAATGATTGATTTGAACTTATGTTATTACAAATTTGCTTTGCGACCGCATATCCAACTTCCCTTAATCTCATCATTTTTGGAAATCAACTCTTTCTTCCGAGCCTCTAGGGTATACCTTTTGATCTCTCTTATTTACTCAGCTGACATTTTTTATGTTGAAGCTATAATTTTGTTCTGTGATACATAATTCTTCATTGCGGTAAATGTGCTGTAGCAAATTTTCTTCTATCACCTCTGTTTTCCTGGTGTTGGTTGTAGCAATTAACATTTTTTTTTTCTTTTTGAAGTCCTATTTTTGTTGGACTGGCAATCAATGGTTTCCTTTACTGCGGTTCTTGTGTCTGTAGTAATTATTGATTTCCTGGGACTGTATGACTAGAAAGGTTTTTAATTTCTTTCTATGATCTTTGTTTTATGGGGTTGTAGTTGATGGACGACGCTTTCTTCTGGTGGCTTTCATTCTTTAGCACCTTGGCGGGCATTTGTAGCACATAATTTTTTTATAGTTTTTGAGAAAATCATGTGTTGTTTTACTTAGGAAAATTTGAATCCTTGTATAAATTTATCATATATTGAAACTTGTTGCTTTCAACTAGGAGCTAATGAATTTTGAAAATGTAGTCTTTGTTTTTTAAAAATTTTAAATAAGATTTTCAATGCATGCAAAATTGATTGAATATTGAGTAGCAAATTAAAATTTCAAATTTTAACAATTCACTTGTGTTTTTGGATGTGCATTCTTATATCATTTCACTAGCCTTAACACATACTTTTAGGGGTAAATTTTCTTGTAGTAAGATTTGGCTTGGATCTTTCTTTGGATGATTTTTTTCTTTGTTTTTGTGTATTTATTCGTTTAGTGATTGTTGTGTGAGTGTGATTAAACTTCTTGTCAAGTGTGATATGTGTTGAAATTCAGAATAATACAGAATAAAGTGGAAGTAAATGGTATATTTCACTGATATGAGAGGGGATATAAATAGCTCTTACATGAATTATAAAATATGAAATATAATAAAAAGGAAATAATATGAAATGCAAGGTATATCATCTAATATCTTCAATTTATCAATTCATATTAATTATTTGGAGATAAAAGAAATAACATAAAATAGGAAAGTCTAAAATAGGAAAGTAAATAACTCATAATCCAAAGAAATAAATATAAAATGTGAAATAAAATAACTTCTAATTTAAGTAAATAATTTATTCCTCGTAACTTATCACAAGAGTAAATTTTTTCTTATTATAACTTTTAACACTCTACCTCAAGTTGAAACATGACTAAAAATCATGTTCAACTTGGATTTTAAAAAATCAAGCAATCGACGAGGGAGATCACATGAAGTAGAATTTAAAGTCTTCATCCCGTACAACGGTTGTCTTTGACTGCAATTTTTGCATTGGCTGTAGGTAGGGATAAGACTTCTACAGGTAATGCTGTAAGAGAGTTTGCAGGGAAGTAGATAACATGCAATTGTCTTTGACTGCAGTTCCCGCAGTGTGTGTAGGTAGGTGGAAGGCTTTTACATGGGAGTTTACATGGAAGTAAATCAAATGTTGTTGTCTTTGATTGCAGTTCTTACAGTATCTGTAGGTTGGCGGAAGACGTCCTACATGTAATGATGCAGGGTGTTTGCAGGGAAGTAGAAAACTTACAGGAGAATCTGACCTTTAGTTGACTGAGGTTTTCTTTGATTGTAGTTCAGCGTCTGTAGGTAGGGAAATTTTTAGGGAAATAGAAAACTTAAAAAAAAAAAAACTGTTGGAAAATTTTTCGAAGGAGGGCCTGCAGATATTTCTCGAGAAGCCTATTATTAGATGGGATGCAAAGCAGTAATAAGAGATGGTTGTTGTTGTAAGGTTGCAGGAAATCAGGGAAGCTGGACTACTGGTAACAAGGAAGCCTGGTTGCTGCAGGGAACATGTGCCAAAAAATAGCGGGAATGATCTCCAGGAAAAAAAATTCACCTCTAGTAGTAGGGACCTGTGGAAAATAAGGAGAGCCGAACTGCTGTAGGGAAAAGATCTAGAGGAGGACCTATTGTCTGAAAAAGCTCAGGAGGAGGGCCTACTGCAATGAAAGCTCTGGAGGTGGGTTTGTTGCAGGAAAGATTACGGGGGAGGGCCTGATGTAGGAAAAAGTTTCAGATGAGGCCTTGATGCAGGAAAATGCTCTGTATTACAAAATTTCTCATCATCACTTCTATCGCACTTCTTCTTCTTAACCTCAACCATCACCAATGTTGGGCTAAGCTGAAATATCTCCAGAGCTATTGTAAGTGGCTTAAGGGATACCTCATTTAAGCTGTGGACTGTGTCGTTCTTGATATAGAATCTCACATGGCTAAAACCTTCTTGAACTACGATTCTCCATGATCTCGGGAATTGTAATCCGACTATGTGGATTAGTGTCCAATAGGCTCAATAGAAGCTTGATAAGATCGGAGGAGAACCATCTAGGGTATCAAAATTCCCCTTTGTAGATCTTTCGATCATGACGTTCTGGTCGTGGAATGGAAGATACCCGACCATGAGAACGAATAGGACACCGCAAGACCAAACATCCACCTTAGCACCGTCGTGTTCCTTCTTAGAGAGCACTTCAGGCGCAACGTAAGTTGGCGTCCCAAAAAACCTGTGGAAGAGTCCATCCTGCTGGATCTATTCTGGGACTGCGTTGAGCCCAAAATTAGATAATTTGAGATCTCTTGGGTTGTTGAGGAGAAGATTTTTTCGGAATGAGATTACAGTGGAAGACACCATGTGCGCGGCAGAATCTGACGGCTGATATCAGCTGCTAAAAATATCTTCTTGTCATGTCCTCCTTGAACCGTCCCTTGGCGACCTTCTCGAAGAGCTTGCCGCCTCGGACATACTCCATGACGAAGTAGATTTTGGCCTTGGTGGCTATAACCTCAAAGAGTTGGACGATGTAGGGGTGCCAGACATGACAGAGAATGGCAATCTCGCGCTTGATCTGAGCAACGAGGCCGCTCTTGAGGATGTGCTCCTTGTCAAGGACCTTAATGGCGATGAACTCGCCACTTTTGTGTGGTAGATTTTGGCGAAGGTGCCATGACCAAGGAGCATGCCAGGCTCATAGCAGTCGAAGATGATGTTTCCCTAGCTATCCTTTGGCTTGGCCATCGGCTCGGATGCCATGACAAATTTCTATTCCAACAGCGAGAGCCTACGGACAACCTGCAGGGAGAGAGAGCATCCCTCCTTTCCTACAGGTAGAATGACAAAAATGGGGAAATTAAGCTCTAATACCATGTTGAAATTCAGAATAATATAGAATAAAGCGGAATGAAGTGGTATATTTCATTGATATGATAGAGGGTATAAATAACCCTTATATGAATCCTAGAATAGGAAATATAATAAAAATGAAATAATATGAAAAAAAAAAGATATATGGCCTAATATCTCTAATTAATCAATTCATATCAATTATTTGGAGGCGTAGGGAATAACATAAAATAGAAAAGCCTAAAATAGGAAATGAAATAACTTCTAATTCAAGGAAATAAATATCAAATAGGAAAAAAAATAACTTTTAATTTTGGGTAATAATTTATTACTAATTACTTCTCACACGAATAAATTATTTACTAATATTATTTCTAACAATATGTATTGAATGTTTTGTCAAGAAGATGTTGGTTGTTGCGGAAATATTTTGTTTTTTTCTCAATTTTCTTTCGAAATTTTTATTTTTGGCAACTATTACATTAGTTCTTGGAATTATAGAATATGTTTGCTATTTATTTATTAAAATTATTATTTTTAACTAAAATTAAAAGTTGGTAACTTGTAAATTCTGGCTTTTTTATGTTTCTACTGCACATTTTTTTTACCCTTAGACATTTTACACTAAATTGCTATCAAACCTTGCATTTGCGTCTTCATGTTTACTTAAATTACGGAATATTAGCTGAGTTTTTAAAAACTGATAAAAGATGCAATTTAAACAAAAGCTAATTATGGTGGGGGCATAAATTAGGTTCCTATGTTCAATGGGAGGTATACATGCGAATAAATTTCTGGTTGGATTGATTTTTTTCTATTGCTAAAAAACGAACAACTTTAATGTACTAAATTGAAATTCATGGAACATGCATAATTATTTTGACAAAATATTGCACGTAAAATTAAATTTATATGGGGTGACCTTTAACATAAATTTAAAAGGCAATAACATTTGTCCATTATCGGGATCAACTGTATGAACAATTTAAGCAATACAAATAAGGTGTATATGGTGTGGTGTGTATTAGTACAACTTTTGAGTCTTGTAGTTAAAAATTATTTTTCTTAGTGTCCGTTTTATTTTCTTTTTTTTATTTCATTAAAGATCTAGGTGATATATTAGGAACGAATTGAGTCGTATTTAGGCAAAAATCATAAATGAGGCTTTTATGAGCCATATTATGATCATTATGTTAGGACTTTCAAACCTAGTTTAATAACCCGCAAAGAGAAATCTTTTTCTTTTATCCAATTTGTTAAACTACACTATCACAAGAATCTTTCTTCGTTGAATTTTATATTTTTGCAAAAAAAATTTGGTTCACGATCATGTTTTGAGTATGTCATAGGTGAAGGTGATTTGTAGTCTCTTTGATGACATTGAATAGGCGTTCATGTTTGTGTGGTTCACTGGTTTTATTGTTTTCAATTTTCTTTATCATGTTATCACATAAAATTAGTTCATAAATCATTATCAGTTTCCCTCGGAAGGCATATTGAAATTTTAATATTTTTATTAATTGTTTAGTATCATTTGCTTGATTTTCATGATTTGCTAGATTTTCTGGGAGTGATTTGTAGGAAACTCGTCGTTGATTATGGAAATTTTCTATTAATAAGAACATGAGAAGTGAATTTAAATTATGTAACAAGGTTACGATACATTTTAATATTAAAAGGCTTCTTATTTGGAGCTTTAACAAGTTTATGACAAGAATGATGAGGCCATATAAAGCATGCAACAGCTTGAGTGAAATACTGAAATTAAAATTTCAGGAAGCTTTGTTATTATTCTAGACTACAGTGTATCTAATTTTGCTTTATGTTATGAATCTACTAGCAATGCTTCGGAATCCATTTCATTTCCCTCGCAAATTAATATCGAAAATCTTACCCGATTGATATGTCGAACTTGCTGTAGAAGCTGTATTGTTTGCAATTATTTTGCACGCTATGGCTGATGTACATTTCAAGTTTTTAGTTTCATAGATGACATGCTTTTTTATGAGGATTCATGGATAAATTTGTGGAAAGCATAGTAGTTTTGCCGAGAATTGCCGACTATCAAATTCTGTCTATTGGAGTTAAAAATTCTCTAAGATGCGCTCCAATACCGTAGTAAACTTTCTTCTACGAACCTTTTTTTAGGACTGTTAATGGTTAATGATCCTTTTTTTGCAGCTGCTGTTGTTGTTGTTGTTGTTGCTGCTGCTGCCTGGTTCTTTTAGGATTGCAGTAATCATATAGTTCCTTTAGTGGCTCATGTAACTGTACGAATTGGCAATTTTCTTACATTGTCTTTGATTTTCTTTACTGCCTGTATCAACGACTTTTCTTTTTTCTTTCCATGGGATTGTAGCAATCAAGAACTCTTTCCTTCTAGGATTGTACCAACAAATTCATTTTTTTAAGTGGCTCTTTATACTAAACAGGTTAACGATTTTTTTCAAGACGCTATACTATGATTTTGATATATTGTACCATCAATGCGTTTGTATTTTCTTTTGTGCTCTTTATTTTTTTTTCAACTAGAGGAGGGGAACTTCATTTTCCTACAACTAATCCACTTCATTGGTTCTTCTGGCTAACAACATTGCTCGTACAAATTCTTTTTTTGATTGTTTTGTGAAAAATTAAGAACTTTTTTTGTTTGGTAAATTAGAAACTTATGAGAATTTGTGTAGGGGGTATTGAAATCTATCACTTGATAAATTGCTAATTTGCTTGCGTTTTACAAGCAATAAGGCTTTTGATCTACACATTTGTTATCCATTGAAGCTATATCAATTAACTTGTGTCGATCAGATCTGCCATTATTAAATATTAAATCTGCTTCTGTGCTGCTTTGAAGCTATATCAATTAACTTGTGTCGATCAGATCAGCCATTATTAAATATTAAATCTGCTTCTGTGATTGTTAACCCACCGATATTTTCATTAATATTCCACTTCTACCCTCGTTAAATTTAAGTCTACACTTTTATCTTCTTACTTCTAAATCAATTCTGTCTTCATTTTCTTTCTTTTTATTCCCTTCTTTGTACTGTCCCAAACAATAAAGGTCTATTGTTTTTACAACATATTCTAATCCTAAAACACTGTCTAATATAAAATCCTAGGTTAACCTTCTAAAATTTTTTGCACTTATTATTCGGCCGACACTGGCAGTTTTTGTTTATTTGTATAGAGTTTTCCTTGGTCTTCATAAGGTTCTCTTACCTATCGTTTGATACACTTGTCTATTTTAACCACCAAAATTAAGCCAAGATCTCTGAACCTTTTCCTTTTGTTAATGCGAACTGCCTTTTCTTTTTTGTTGCAACTGCTTTCCCTTAACTCATCTGCATTTCCTTGCTAAACTTCTAAATTTTTTATCCTAAATTCTACTAGTGTAAAATTGCATATATCCTTTAGTATGTTATTGTTATTTTTGTTCATTATATTGGCCAGCATTAAGCCATTCAACTTTTTTGATAGGCAGTTTAGAAATTTTTACCTGTAAAAGATGGTCATATCTTCAATCTCTAATTATAATTGTTTGCGAGCTAATTTTTTCAAGTTTTTTTTTTTTTGTGTAAATAATGTTGATATTATGATGAGTGCACCATGCGTTTGGTTGGCTTACATGGTTTCCATGCTTTTTTTACTTCATTTGTGAAGTAAGCTGCTCATGCCTCCATTGGTTCATCCTTCTTTTTGTTGGTTTTATGGAAGTTTCAATTTATAGGAAATGTTGTTGCTCAGTTGTATAAATGAATCATCCCTTTTTAATAAGGATTCTATGGGCTTCTTTGCAGGGAAAGAAGAACACGCCTGATGCTCAGGAGAAATGCATCTTGCGTCTTGTCATGTATCATTTATGTGTGAATTTACCTGTTATGATATTTTCCTACCCTGTTTTTAGATGGATGGGCCTGAAAACTTCACTTCCACTTCCAAACTGGTATTTTCATCCCTCCCTTAATTTTAATTTTTTTTTTATTATCTAATTGCCTAGCCAGTTGCCTAGCTGTCTGTAAATTATTGTCTTTTCTCTTGAGGCATATTTGCAAAATGACTTGAAGTTTTAACTCTTATGGGATATACAAAATTTGATGAGTCAGAGCAAATGTGCCTGACATACAATGTTTAGTTAGGATTGCCAGTAGTTTATACAGTTTCTGTCACTAATAAGTTGCGGTTCTATAGGTATGTGATCTTATCACAAATTATATTCTATTTCATCCTGGAGGATTTTGTGTTTTATTGGGGGCATAGGATACTGCACACGAAATGGCTGTATAAGCATGTCCACAGTGTGCATCATGAGTAAGTTACTTGATTTGGTAGATTCTTTGGTTTGATGCTGTATAATTTTAGAAAACACTATTCTTATGCATTAGTTTGTATCAGATATGCTACACTGACATCTGAGTATGCCCACCCTGCTGAAATTTTGTTCTTGGGTTTTGCCACCATAGTTGGTCCTGCTCTGACTGGTCCACATCTATTTACTCTTTGGTTATGGATGATATTGAGAGTGTTGGAGACTGTTGAGGCTCATTGCGGCTACCATTTCCCATGGAGCCTTTCAAACTTTCTTCCTCTGTATGGAGGGTTAGTACTAATGTTTTTTTTCCTCTAATTATTTTTACAGTCTCCTACACGTGGTATTCTGACAACTGATTATTTATGTGTTCAGTGCTGAATTTCATGATTTCCACCATCGTGTCCTCTATACAAAATCAGGAAACTACTCTTCGACTTTCACTTACATGGACAGGTAATGTTTAGCGCTCTAGCCACACAATTATGGTTGTGCACTCTCCTTTGCTTCATTTGAGTTGCTGGTAGGTGGGTTTTTAGGTTGGGGCGTTTTTAGCTTTTATTGTTTGGCTTTTACTTTGGATCGTATCCATCCTGATTGTTGGATATTACCTTTCAAAATTCAATACACAGTTACTGCTAATTTTGCTTTTAATTTTTTTCTGTGTATCTCCATCTTCTTTCAGTTGGCTGTTCAATATTTGCATTTCATGCTGTGAATTTTGTGAATTTGGATCTAGAATTTCTTTTTGCAGAAGTTTATTTGGTTAAAATTCAGTTTTCCTTAGAAAGGGTCCTGCCCTGAAAACTGTCATTTGTTGAAGCATGTATAATTCTCTCTCTTTTCTTTTTACTTGAATTATTTTGTTTTTTTTGTCTCAATTTTTAGTGCTGCCATTTCATAGTTGATGAGAGGTTATGTAGGTGTATTGTAAGCTTTAAAGTAGCATTTTGTGTTTTAGTTGGATGAAACCAAATGATATTTTAGTAAATTTTTTCTACTCTATTGACTTCACTAAAACGATTGCATTGTTTCATCATGTCATTTCACAACATTGTGCTCTTGGCTGTAGCCAAAATGAAATCGTGGTTTAGATTTTGTGGCTTAATTCAGCATCTGCCGCAATAACTAAGCAAGAATGTATTCTGCTCTTCACTTTTTACATAGTCGTAATGTTATAGCTTATTGGTTTTATGTTCTGTTTTGTTAGAGCTAGTTGCTTGTTATTGATTATTCTCCTTATGCTCTCCTGCCTTCGAGCATTCTTATACCTGCTTCTTGTTGTTGAAGTTAGTAGCTTTTTATCCCAAGTCTTGCCGAGCGGTTCTTCACACTTCATCTCTTTCTCTAGTTGCACCTCAATCTCATGAGTATTTTTGTTTGTTAAAATAATCTTTCGACACATCATTATATATTTAATTGATTTTTTCTTTTTGTATGCCTCAAAATTGCTTATTTTTTGAATTTATTATTATACGTGCTAAAAAATATTCTTTAATGTGGTTATGGTTTGGTCAATTAAATGTCTATTTGATGCACGCAGTATATGCGTATATGATATTACAAGCTATGAACATTTTATTTCATAAAACCTCTTTTCACTTTGTGCATTGCATACTGAAATAAAAAAGAACCATTGCATATTTCAGTACGTTTAGTGCTTTGAAAACACTGAGTTTGGTGTTTTATATTTCTGTCAGAAGAAATTTGACAAATTTAACTTTTTTTGTGATTTATTTTGTAATAAAGCAGGTATTTATCCATACTCCTAAAAAACTCAAATGTTTTTTAAATTGATCATTAATATTTTCAAGTATGCTATTGTCATTCTTCATCATTCTCTTTAGCCTTCTTGCTTGGTAATCTTCCATTTATGCTTGTTCACGGTTGCAAGTTTCATTTATTTTGTCTTAAAAGTTTCTTACATTAGTGAAGTAATATAGAAGTAGCCATATAAAAAAACGTGTATGGTGGGGGTCCACTTTGCCTAGGTGCTTTTCTTCGCATTTTAAGCTTTAGTGCCTCATGTATTGTCCACACAAGGTGTCATGGGAATTTTGAATAAACTCTGAATTTGGATATAATGTGATGAATTTAAAAAAATAAAGAAAAATGACAAAGTAACTAAATGCAATTGAAAATGAGAACAAAATATTCCTTTGTTGTTTTGCCAAACACGATTCCAATATGAACTCCCTGCATTTATCTTTGTGAAGTAGCAATGAATGGATGATGCAAAATCTCATTGACATCCTTTGAGTGATGGACTTCATTGATCAGATTATTAACTTGCCTTGTCCTTAAAGAAGTCTTCTATTTGAACTCCCTTTGAGAAAATCCTCTATATGGATTATACAAATTATGAATTCCTTCATTTGAATGATCATTATTCAAAAACTTGCTTACAATTGTGTAGAAAAGAACATGAAGGGTGTTACTTCATCTTTTTGTGGGTTATGTGTGACCTCTTAACTAATCAGCATCTGACAGTCTTTGATATTGGCCTAGTAAAAATAGCATAAATGGTTCCCCATGCTATTTGACGAGCATTGTTCCAATGATCGATACCACTTCATCCGTTAATGTTGACCGAACTTAAAAGTTTTGCTATAAAATCCTTGCAATTTTATGGATTATTTAAATACCTCTCAAATTATGAAAGGCTCGTTGGCTTTATTTTTAGCTCAATCATTTCAAAAATTTACAAAATTAACACATAATATCTATTTCTTTTTTGGTTGGGTTATATACTTCTTTGCTTACGAAATATTTAAAATAATCAGAAAGGGGGAAAATATTGGAAACATATATGCGTGGTCCAGATTGATATGTGGCTCTGCAATTGTCTAACACAATAAAATAAATTTTTATTTCACACTATGAAAGGGAACGAAAGGAAGCCTTTCTCTCTTGAGTCGGTGGAGAAATCAAGTGACACACCGAGTTTTTCTTGGATTTGGTCAATCCAAAGTAAAATGAAATGCAAAACCAAAAACAAAATTATATTCTTATGGTCCTTCTTTTCTTGAAAAAAGATTTGCTGCTTTTCAAAGGCCTTGCACTAAACTTATAACAATGTGATTTTTGAGTATTTGACTTGAAAGCTTGAGAATGTGATTTGGAATGATAACTGAGAGGAATGAAAGTGTTGGGCAATTGAATTCTTTAATTTATTAATGGTCCCAAAGAGGCGGTATTCAGTTCCCAAGTTTTCTTGGCTGCTATAATCAAATAAAAAAAAAATCTAGAAATTTGTAAGCTTCAAAATTAGCTTTTTGGATGATTGTGTGCACAATATGCAATTATATGTATGATCAATTTAAATTCATAGGAATTTACACTAATTGTTTGAACGATTTAAAGATAGTATGTATGATTCTAGACCAGTTATTTGGGTCTATGGCTGTACAAACTTGCTTTAGCGATATAATTACAGCTGCACGATCTTTTAATGGAATTTATCTAATGGATAGTATAAGTCACATCTTATGAACGACACAATAATCATTTAGAGAAATCCAAAATTGCATGCATGATTAGAATTGCCCATACAATCCTTCAGAGATGGAAAAATCTAAGGAAACTTGATTCTGCACGTAACTACACAAGCAAATAACAACCCAATGGAATAAAATTTTGGATTGTTACTTTTATCTGTAGGCAAAAAGTTCTAAGAGCCATGATGTTGGATTTCTTAGCATGCATGATAAAAAATAAAATTATTAGGTATAGTAACTTGTTTTCTATCTTGAGCTTGATTCCATTTCACATGTTTTTATTTTGATCATTTTCACCTTCTTGATCTTTGCACCCTATCAATTGTATAGTTACTTGATGAGAACATTAATATTCCTAATTATATATTTCTTATCATCTACATTGCTTATCATTTTTTATGTTCATAAGATAAACAATAACTTATACCCTATTGATATGACTATTTTGCTAAGGACCCAATTTACATTCGTTGGTTGCATTTGATTAAGCGATTTAAATTTTGTTCTAGGTGTATTTTTCAGTCGTCAGACGAACAATGGAGACTTTTTTTGCAACAGGAAATTTATAACTCTAAGAAAACTTATAGCTAGTGTTGTTGCCCTTCATTTACATGTTTATTAGTTAACTACTTTGGACCACAACAACAACAATAAAAACAACAACTACAAGCCTTTATTCTACTTTGTGGGGTCGTCTACATTAATCATTTTCTTCCATTGTGTCCTATTAAGTGTCATATTTTCATTTAATTCTAATATATTAAGATATTTTTTTATACAATATGCCCGAGTCATTTTAGGTCTACTTTTATTTTTCTTATCATAAGTCAAATCTAAAACATCTATTCTCCTAACAAGCCGTCAGTTGGTCGATGTTTAACATGATCACTGCAACTACTAAGTCCTTTTCCTTGATAAATTCATTTTGCATTTTGTCTCTAAGTGTGAAGCCACTCATCCATCTAAACATTCTCATCTCCAACACTTAATTTTATGTTTCGCTTTTATGGGCCAACATTCTACACCATAAAGCATTGCAGATCTCATCATCTTCTTATCAAATTTTTATTTTAAGTCTAAGCAGTACTTTTCTATTACACAATATGCTCTATGCATTTCTCCACTTTAACAATTCAACTTGAATTCTACTGATAACATCCCCATCTATATCACTCTCACTTTGAATAATAGACTTGAGATATCTAAAATATTAACTCCTTTTAATGACTTAATCACCCATTGTTAGAACCTTAGAGTCAGATCTGCTACTATGAAATTTACACTTAGTTCTTCATTTTTAGATCTACTCAAATGAAAGTCTTTAGACTTTGAAGCCGATCTTCATGATTCAAGTTTTTCTTGAACTCTTTCTGGCCTTATTCACAACAAGGATATCATCGGCGAAAAGCATACGCCACGGTTTGTTTTCTGTAATTTCTAGTAAGAACATCCATAATTATAACAACAAGATACGGGTTTAAAGTCGATCCCTGATGTAATCCAACTGAAATAGGAAAATAATTGGTCCAGCTGAAATAGGAAAATAATTGGTCAATTCTCCTTGTGTTCGAACATAAGTAACAACGTTAGTATACATATCTTTATTGACTTAAATACAAGCAATATTAACTCCTTTCTTTTCTAGAATGCTCCAATATATTTCTCTTGAAACCTTATCATAAGTTTTTATTCTAAATCAACAAAAAAACATGTGTAAATCCTCCTCACTCTCTTAGTATTTCTTCATCAAACCTCTCAATAAATGTATAGTTTCCATAGTAGTCTTGCCCGAAATGAATCTAAACTGTTTTGAGAAATTTTTGTTCGACATGGTAACCTATATTCAATTATTCTCTCTCATAATTTTAATGTATGACACATTGACTTAATTCCTATATAATTTGCATACTCTTGCGCATCATCGTTATTCTTAAAAATATGAACCATACTTTGGACCAC